GGGAAAGCATTATCCTCGCAGGTGTATTCTCCGTGCATTCTCAATAGGCAGACACGCGCGAACGTGGCCTGAAAAAGAAATCCCGGATAAGCCGAATTCGAGATTCGCGCGGGATCTCTCCTGCGCTCTCCGTAGCGGTCGGCTACTGGTCATCGGACACGTGCACCGACACACACATACGCATGCATACGTTCACCGAGAAGCGTGTCTCTATACGTTGCGGCCCCGTGAAGGGAAGGGTCCCCGTCCGTCTCAATTCCTCCGCGAAATTAAGCCTATTTCCGCCGGAAGCTCCTTTCACAGAATACCTGATCTTCCATCTATCCGACGCTTATTCGTCCTCACAATTTCCTTTTTTGTGCCGTATCAGCCCTAAATTTGATTACTTTAGACACGGGCCCCGCGCATGCATGTTCGATTACGCGTCGTATTTTTTCTCTTCTTGTTTTCTTTTCTCTTTCTTTGCGAGAAGAAAAGATCTTTCGTGATTGACGGAGCGTATGCCTCCGCAATATTCCCGATACGTTGTTTTAACAACGGACACACATCGTCTCTCCGAGTAATGATCAATTAGAGGGCCGATCAGGCGATGAACACGAGCGCATCACCATTCTCTTACGGCGCATCGATTCGCTTTGAGAGCGAGGTACTTATTCGGCCGCGGGATGATCTCGGCGCGTTCAACGAACAATCGCGCGGAGCAGGATCCTTTTGTAGGTGCAAATTCGCATGTAAGTAAATGGCGGGACGGACCCTGCCCCGTCCATGGGACGCTTTTAAAGGGCTTACCACGAGCATTAGCCGGGCATTAGTACCCCGCTCCCTTCCCTTCTCTCCTCCCCCCCCCCCCCCCCCNCTCTGACCTCTATTCGGTTTTGTTCCATCGCGGTACATACACACCGCCGGTTCTGGGATTTGTCACTGCGCTATTATTAATTATTTGCGGCTCGCTCAGCCAGGACACGAGTCCGGCACACCTGTAGGCCACGAACCGATGAACGATTCGCTGCGTCGCTCCCGGCGCTGCAGCAACAATCGTTCCGGTTTATACCGCAGCACCAAGTTGCCATGCGGCAACTTATATTTGGTGAATCGTTGAGAGATAAATTTTTCTATGTTAATTATGCTGTGTGTGTGTTCAACAAGAGAAATTTAAGTTTTGATTTCGCATAATAACAAGGCTGAATAGCAACAAAAAGAAGGCGTTGAAACGTATAAACTCGCATTTCAAGGAGTGTCATTATACGTGAAAATAAGCGCTGCCGAGATTGATTGATAATATATTACGATATCGACCTACATTCTCGTATTATAAGCCAAATTTTATGTGTGTCAAATAACGTGTCTCGTAATAATTATCAAAGTATGTCATAATTATTTCGTTTTAAAGCCAAAATATAAAATGGCCTGAACGAAAAGTTCGACGTGAATCACCAATGGCCCACGCGACAGGGAATGTGTGCAAAACCATGAAACACCGCAACTAGTGTAAAAATTATGGCTTTCAAGTGTGTAGAGTCCATGGAACACAGGGAAACAGTGGCAGTCCAGAAAGCAGGAAGCGAATCGACAGTCGAGAATTATCGAGAATGTAGGACTGCCATGTAAAAATTCCCGATTGTAACGTGTTATGTATCATTAATTTTGCCTATGAAAAACGAAAAATTAAACTTTCGCGGAAAAAGAGAGAGAGAGAGAGAGAGAGAGAGAGAGAAAGAGAGAGAGAAAGAGAGAATAAAAAAATAACAATTCCTTTTCACAACTCATACATATAGAGAGAAATCAAATTTTGCAAAGCTATGAATGTGAGCCTTCTCTGAAAAATACGTTACTCTAAAAAATACGTTACTTTCACAAAATGTAACGTATCCATCTATCGTATATTCACGAGGGCTGAATAATTCATTTCTTCAGCCAGCTAACCATCTATCTGGTGACCCTGCGACGAGCATTTCGTTATGCGTTATCACCTTTAGTCGAATAAGATGTCGATAGGGATTTGCTCTCGGAGAACCGCAGGCATCACTCTAATCGGAAGAAATTATCGCCTGTCACAGCGTATCCTTCTCGCGCAGCCGAGATTTACACTCGGGGCGTTATTCAGCGAAGGATTCAGCGGCCGAGGGGTGAAGAACCCTCTGCCCCCGAGAGCGTCGGGACCCTTCAAGCGGCCTCGAGGGTGGCGCCGCGGCGCGTTTCGGCCCCTCCCGAAACAAAACATATTGTCCGAATTTAATTGTGAACGGGGTGCATTAGATATTCATATGCTGCGTGTTCGGCGACGCGTGCGACAATGTGTGCGCTCGGGATCTTAGCACGTGCATGTTCTGGTCGCGTCGAGGGAATAAATCTCCACCGGGATAAACAGCTCTCGCGCCCTTGGGTCCTCGAGTTCGGCCGACACTTCCGGTTAATTAGTCCGAAAACAACGAACGTCCGGAAACGACAAACAACGAGTCATGCTTAGCCGGACCAACATCAAAAAGCAGATCGTGACGCAATTTTATATTAATTAAACAAATTATTCCTTTGGAAAACAACGCAAGTCCTCTGGGAATAAAATCGTTTAATTACAACAAATATATTTTTGTGTGTTGTTCCAACGTCTTTGTGGTTCTAAAACGAGATGACACGTAAGTAATGGCATTCTGATATGAATGTTATATGGACCTGTTATCTTCACTTAATGTGTCTACACATTTACATATTTAAGATGTATTCCACATTAGATGTAACGATTTTTATGATATTTATTTAATTGGCAATTTATATCGTCTTCGAAGTAAGTGATCGTGCCATTCTCAACACGATTCCCTCTTTAATAATCAACTCACGCACGGTAATTCAATATTTAAATGACACCACAATAAAGCGTAAATTATTACTGTTATCAATCAGATTCGTGTTATTATTTTATGGACGAAGCAGATAGGAAGAAAGCATGGGGTTGGCAAATCAGCCACATTAGTGGCAAGGCAATATCCAAACCCGATCATCCCCTTCGACGAAGCACCCTTATTGGCACTTGGGAATAAACAAGAGACGATCAATGGGCCATAAAGGATGGAATCGAGTGTGCGTATGGAAAATATAGCTCCATAAATATGCTCGCAATCGACGCCACTTCGCAACAGCGTTATTATCCTTTCGCCATTTCGCAGGATCAATTCGAAATTGCGCTTTTTATACCCTTAAAGAATAACAAATCGTGGACGGTGTTGGCACAATTATAACATAAATCAAGGTTCCTCTCGCGCTATTATGTTTGTGAACAATCACATGTTAATGTAACTTGATACAATCCGGAGGTCTAAAATTTACATCTTCTTTTATTGGATTGTTTCATTTCTAACTCATTTCTATGTTTGAAAGTGTGAAAATGTGTGTAAAAAATAACCCATGAAAAATAATAGCTAGTATAATAATGTTCTTTTTCTCCCATCTTCCCTCTATTAAACAAATATTTTTTTATCACGTTGATCGCGAATTTCCCTAACAACGCAATTAAATAATTTAAAAGATCTCTTACGCAACGTATTGCAATTTAGTTCATTAGATTAAAAACAGAGAAAAGGGCTCGTTGCACTCAATGATCCGCGACATAGTCACCCCCATTACAAAGCGAATGCAACAATTAATTCGTTAAGAAAATGGTTAAAAAGGAAGCACTCGTGACCCACAATCCGGTTTGGCTTCCAACCTTTTCCACTCCAATTATTTTTGAAGGCGCACGAAAGACGCCATTGCCGAGCGGTGCGCGGAGCGCAAAGGGTTAACTCGATGCGAAGAAAGCACCCCTGCCTTAGTGCCCCCGTCGTGAAAATTCCTTCCGCGGAATCCCGCAAAAAAAGAGCAAAACGGCGAGAGCTACCATTTTGTTGCGTTGTAAGACGAACACAATGTCCTACCAGAATAAATGCGAATACAGATCTGACGAAAGAAGGAGGGAAAAAGGAAGGCAGGAGAGGAGAGAGTGAGAGATCGTATGAGATAAAAGAAGGGGAAGTACACGCTAAGGAAGTATGGTAGAGCGGTTGGTATCGAAGAGAAGTCGCTTTCTTATTTCTATTCTTAGCAGCGCTCTCTCGAATTCGAGTCGCGATACTAGCGCCCACCATTTCACTTGTCCCACCTTCTTCACGGTCCTCCCTGCTCCCACTCTTCATGGGCTGGATCCATCTGCGATAAAAGTGGGGGTGGCAGTAGAATAGTTACCTGTGCTTTCGTTTCTCTCTCTCCCTCTCTCCCTCTTTATCCATGTCATCCTTCCTTCTTATATCTACTCTCGACTACTACACTCTCGATTCGGCTCAGAAACAGACTAGCCAATTTGAATGTAAAGAACTTTTGAGTCAGTAATGTATGTGACTATAAAATAAGTCACACCATATATAAAATGCTAATATATATATAAAATATTTGTAAATATTTTGAAATAAATGTGAAAAATCCGTCGATGATAAAAATTACATTGGTATTTAATGGGACTTCCAGGTTTCATGAGCCCCCACGTCATTTTTATAGTTATCTTTGACTTCTTGAGTGACCCCTGCCCGATTTTAATGACGTTAACCGAGAGAACGATTTCCTTCGACACTTCGATCATGATTATACCTCGGCGAGAGAGTACGCGCGCTCTCACGTCGAAAGGGAGCTTCGTACGGCGCGTAATCGCAAGACGCACCCCACCGGAGAAAGCAGAGGCGCGTAGAGTTGAAGAGAGACAGTTCGAAGAACAGGTAATGTGCGTTAGAGAGGCACACGTAACCGGCCTTTGCCGCCTCGTTATCGACAATTTTGCCACTCAAGCCAATCAGAATAGCGAATACGCCACCACGTCGCACATGTCCGCCCCTGGTTGCGAACGATTGGATCATGAAGGCGGTTGCTACGGCCGCGATACGAGGAGGGGAGAGAATTGCTGGTGGCACTACCGCGGACTTGCCCGCTCCACTCCAGCCGACGTCCGTGCATTTCCAGAGCTAACCTTCCCGAGGTAAGACTGAACGCGCGGGTCTCCGTCTACTACGTCGCGGGTCGCAAATAAGAGTCGGCTCGATACGTGTCGTGCGGTTCCCAACATCGTCGAGATGAGCCTGACCGCGGACGACAGCGTGTTACATGGAGCAGACAATACATGAGAGGACTGACGGAAAAACTGAGAACCGGAGTGTCGTGACAGTGAACCGAGAACCCTGACCGCAAATCATGTGCATGGCGAATTGAGCAGTGCAGTGAACCCCGACATTGTCGCGTCTCTCTTGTGATTGTTATTAAACCAACGCATCGTGAGACGAAAGTCTCAACCACGGCAGCAAAATTGAGCTGGAGCTGCACCAACGAGCCGCCGGCTTTATGAGGTGAGTCTTCGGGCGAAAAGGGAAAAGCGGGTAGATTTGTCTAGAGTGGTATCGAGCTATTTGGGAAATCAAATATAATTTTCACGTGTCTTCCCTCTCCCCCTTTACGGCAGAAATTGCTCAATAGCAACATACGTTATACTACAAATCTCAGACTTCGTTTAAATAAGACTGCCCACTTATAATCCTAAAATTAGATCTTCATTGAAAAATGGGAATGTGCGATAAATTATTTAAAAATTTTATCGACACGTTTAGGATTGAGAAATCATGTGAGTGACCAGGGTTTCCTTTGACGTTTAACTTTGATCTGGCAAAGCTCTGACTTGGCTCTTTAATTTCTGACATGACAAGATTCTGACTTGTCACTCTGACTTTGACCTGACAAGATCTAAGAAGACTCTGACAAGATTCGCACTTTATTTCCCAATATTAAGTCACATGTTGACTACTGATATCGGGATAAAATCTATTATCATAATATCAAATTTTATTCTATTCCATTATACATATTCAATTCATATTTCGATTATAAAATATGTCTGCTCATGAGTGATAGAGTAAAATTGGAACAATAAAATGGTTCAGCACTCAAAAAAATTAATTGAAAAGTGCTGCCTGCATAAACTAAAGTATATAATATAATATAATTCATCGAACTTTAAAAGTTATTCACTGCTTTGATCATAAACCGTAATAAATAACTTATTTAACGACAATGACGTTTACTGTCACAATGATTAACGGTGAACGATGCATACTGACTCATTACTTCATGCATGAGGCGTAACTACTTGTGACTATCAATATTGATATGTGATCAACAGAAAACAGGATAAAAAAATAAAACAGGATAAAAAAAACTATATAAAAAATTGCATCGTATCTTCAGTTAAACTATCGAATATTCAATGAAAATTAACGGGATCATCGATGGCCTAATCTACAAGCGAGAAGTTTTAGTGGACATCGAATAGGATACTTTCCGACGGATTATAAAGTTTCTCATAGCGATTCAAACGTGTAACCCAAAACACATAAACCTAACATTCACGAGTCTAGAGATTACAATCGCACCAATATCGCTGAAATATTCTTTAATCGCACGTGGACCGAGCCTTCGTGTAACGAATTTGACATTATTCATCGGAATCTGAAAATGCCGTCGGAATGGGGCGAAATAATGAACTCTTGGTCATTTATAAGCAACACTCGATATACCCACGAGCAAAATTCGCTTTCTCGATCGAAACAGACAATAAATTGCGGCTCACCCCGCATCCTCCGTCTTTACCCGCGGACCGCGCCTAAACATTCAATTAGCACTTCCTAATCCCCCGTCGCTCGTTGTCAACAGCCATTACTTCCAGCATCTTCTCGGTAAGCTACCCCCACGAGAGAAAGATAGGAGAAGAGAGAAAGAGAGAGAGAGAGAGAGAGAGAGAGAGAAGGGGGAGGAGGGAGAGAGAGAAGGAGAGAGAAGGGCATTCTCAGAGAACACCCCAAACACCGCGAAACGATGATGACGGGGTGGTTGTTCCACCCCTTGCAGCTTCGCCTAACCGACGTATCTATTAATCTGCCCTGAATGACACTCGAGGGTGGCACTCGCTCTCTCTCGTTGTCCCCTTTCTTCCTCCACCGTGTGTACGGGGACGGTGATCCTAACCCTACAAAATCTTAACTACTGCCCCTCCCGCTCCTCCTCCTGCTGCTCCCGCCACCCCCTACTCATTGAGTTCCCCCAGACCACTACAGGTTTTTTTTAACGAACGCTCAAGGAGATTCAATGCGGTAATTGTGTTAGTTCGAGAAGCTAGGGTTGTCGAAGCGAGAAGGAGAAAGAGAGAACGCGCGCGGGAGGAGAGAAAAGAAGAGAGGGGGAAGTGAGTCGTTTGGCGCACCCTTTGGCCGCGGGGATGACGTTTAGGGTAGAGGATGAAGGACGAGACAGCGCGCGCGGAACGTGCCGAGATTGGTTAATGGCTTTGATACGAAGAAAAGGATAAGATCAATTTGCTTATGAATCGGGGGGCAAACGAATAAGCAATTATGTAGCGCCGGGAAGAAAGCTCTCTTTCACTCTCACCTCGTTAGACCGCACGCACGAAGTCTTTACAAATGACAGAGATGATACAGTTGCAATCTACCGACCGAAAATTACTAACTCTCGTATTTTAATGCAAAAGAAAGCTAAAAAATATCAGGAAATAATGCTTGTTTGTATACTAATATAAGGATTGTCATACAGAACAAACAATTATGATGTATCGTCACTTGAAATATTAGAGCTTATCTTAAAAAGTAAACTGCCACGAGAATTTACACGTCTTTTCATATAATCTTATCGCAATAACTATTGGTCATTCGTAACGACTATTGTTAATAAGATACAACAATGCATATCATAAAATTGCTAGATACGCATCGGAACTCTAAGCGATTTTTCGAGAACGCTCGTATACGATTCGTTTTAAACAATTTTTTCGTAAAACGAAGACATATAATCCATTAATTGCACAGTATCACACGTGTAATACGTCAAAAATAAGATAGTTGGAGTGGGTCTACTGCAGTCAATAAGTTGAAGAAAGAATGTAGACAGTTAAATGATGACTGAAATATTAGAGCATGAAATAAATGAAGAAGTGAACGAATTTACTGGTGAATTGATAGATTTACGCTTTGAATGGCACTCGCTAATTCTTATTAACATCACAATATTGCGAGTCAAAATACGTCAGCGGGTTGTCTTCGAATATCGTTTACCTGTTATTCCCAATGAAAGCAACCCAAAGTCACTCAACGAAATCTTTTATGTTTTTTGTGTTCGACCATCATCCCAGGTAGAAAAGAAAATGGCGATGACAGGAAAATGTCAAAATAATGAAAAAAAAAATGATCAAAAAGCTAGTTTTACGGTCGTTTTCTCGTCATTTTGACGTCATTTTCTGTTTTACCTGGGATTATATTCCTAATGATTCACGCGTAATCACCATTAAACTAAACAATCTGATAAAGGTTGTTAAACAGCAGTTGTCTTAATTTACAGAGCCGGCGGCAACATGTGCGACGGCTCCTTCACGGAAACCTTACGCACGATGCAAGGCATGACGGGAACATCGCCAACGGCCGGTGCCGGTGTCGGTCCCATGGGGGTCGGCCTCGGTAGCCCTCTCGGTCCAGCAGGCAAGAAAGTGCAAGCGGAACACATTAAACGGCCGATGAATGCCTTCATGGTCTGGTCACGATTGCAGCGACGGAAGATCGCGCAAGAAAATCCTAAGATGCACAACAGCGAGATCTCCAAGAGGCTTGGTAAGTGATTACGATTATCGCAAGACAATAGACGCGCGTGGAGTATGTGTGAAAATGTGTGATACTCTTCCGACATTCTCGAAAATTGGTGAAACGAGATCTCTTAACCAGAAAATTTCGAAAACGTGATGAATCCTACATCCATCGTTCTGTAAAGGACAGACCTCGATTAAGAGTAATTTTAAAAGAATTCAAAGCGGGAAGTATGTCCGATAAGCGACCGAGACCATCGTCCTGTAATGACGTATTTTTCATCCCTTTCTTCACACAGACGACTTCGTGCACACATCCGCGTGATTTAGCGCCGACGGAACACGACACGAAGATATTCCGCCTAGTATTTCCGTTAAATACCCCAGTCGACAAAGGACCTTCCGCAACTCCCTCGAGCTCTTTTATCCGTCATTTTCTTCCTCGCCTCGCTCCGTCTATCCCCCATTTTTCGTTTCCCCGGCGACGACGAATAAGGGAAGCGTCTCCACCTCCTCATCCTCCTCCACCTCTTCGTCCTCCACCTTCTCCTCCTTCTCGGTAAAAATGATGCGCACGCTCAACGTACCACCCCCTTTCCTACCCCCCCCCCCCNCCCCTAAGCTCCTCTCTCTCTCTTTCTCCTCCATAGCCACCCTTATTCTTCCCCACACTTCTTCCTCCACGTTTCCTCTTTTGTCGGCGCGACACTTTTCCGTCGCTCTTTCGCCGTCAAGCATATTTCTAGATCATACACATCCAACCTCGTCGCGACACTCGCAAATTTTGTCCGTTTCCTTCTCTTGCGCGAAACTCCTTCGCGAAGCGAGGAGGAACTGCAAGCGCGTGTCCTCTATCCGGCGATTGGAATGTAGCAGACTAACGCGTGCAATGTCAAATTTCGCTTTCCTCTAACCGGCAGAGTAACTAGAGCACACGTTTGCGATGTAATTAAACACGTAGGAAATTGTTAAAAAAATTGAGAAACTTGTATTAACGTGACGAAGGATATTAGAAGAGAATATTTCTCGCGAAAAGTTATAAAATATCAAATCTGTTTTGAGATAATCTTGAATCTTCGACATTTTTCTGGCCTTTCACTCGTCCATTTTTAAAATTATAAATTTTTAGAACTTCGAGACGTTTTAATTCCACGACTTGTACAATTTCAGGTTCCTCAAAATCTTTGACATTTCAAGTTGAAACCGGCATTTGGAATTTGATGATTATATTGCTGTATCATCCAGCAGTTTTATTATCGGTTACGAAAAGCTGACTGAAACATTTTACTTGTTGGGATAAACACTTCGCGCCTCGCATCAGCGTAAAAAACCGAAATAATTCCGGTCCGAGAGTGCGATAAAACAGCCGCCGGTTTTATTGCATCAATTAGTAGATGGCGACCCGCGCGTTTATCTTCCGACCCAGCAATTCGCCACGTTTCACGACACTCGGAGGATGCTTACAGATGTATCCTGAAGGAAGGTAATCGCGGGATGAGGGGCGAGAGTTCTTTAAAGTGAGTGCTCTGTCGGGAGATGCTTAGAGCTAATCTAGTTATTGGACCTCGCTGTAACGTTCCTGTTGTGCAACTTGCTTGTCCAAGCCTTGCGCCTTACCCTTTCGTCTTCGAGAGTCCACTCGAGCAAATGGCTCGAGCGTTTTGAAAGTGATGGCAATTCCGTGCGAGACATCAGAACAGAATAGAGGCGATACGCAGCCAATGAGATTAAGTAGAAACTCAGTGAAATTATTTCAGAAAACTCTTGAATCAAAAATCTAGTGTTAAGTTTTTAAAAAAATTATTGAGGCGGTACTAATTTAAAAAATTTAGAAACAATCTCATCCGATTCATTCTACTGACAACTGATCGATTATTCCGACACGATGTCGATCCTTCTACCGGATCGATCATGGTGACATTCCACCTCGATCTCAATCCACCTATCTACAACTACCCCTTGCACAGTGTGTAGTGACGTAAAAACGCATGCACGTACGCACGCATGCGGTGCAAACATCCCCGAGAGAGGAATTCACAAAGAGAGCGAAACGAGAGAGGAATAGAGGGTGTATAAACACACAACAGGGTGGTGAGGGTGGGTTTGGAGAAGAAGAGACTCGGGAGAAGCTTTCATCGTAATGAAGTATTTCTGCCGCTTGCCGGAACCTTGGAGAGGAGGCACCAAACGTATTAACGGAACGACTTGTCGGTTTCGCAAACATATACGTGTTAAGGATCCAAAAAAGAATATAAGATGTCTATTTTACAGTCTTAGAAAACAATCTCATTAAATCCCCGTGACAGTCTCTTGAGCTCATAACGCTTTCCTTAATAGCAATTTTGTTCTTTTCCGTAAAGAGTAATGAAGATCGGAAGATCAGAAAGAATAAATAATTATATTATCACGGTAGATCTAAAACGCGCGTTATCGTGGAATTTTCCGTCGAATCTCTCCGGAAAAAAGGTTTCAATAACGTTCAGTTCAAGGAGCTCCGGTCGGCTCGTAGGACTCGTGAAAAGGGGAATAATTCGCAGAGAACACTGACAGCTACGCTTACATATAGAATCGCGAAGACAATGACGTCGGGTGCGACAAAAGCGATGTACAAAACGCGTGCAGGTACACGTACGCGCATCCTTGTCCTCTTCTTTCCTCCCCCCCCCCCGTATGCGCGTGATTAAAAATGATCGTCCCCGAGCGGGCTTAACGCTCCCACCCCCTTAAAAGCTCTCACTACTTTGAACCGCCCACCGGTCGCTCTTTGTGTCACAAAGAACGGAATTCTCTGCTCCACTTCGAGACTTATGAGTGAAACCTATTTTCTCTGTGAATTCTGCGACAAGCTTTGCGCAAAAAGGATTAGGAAAGATTGAGGAAATGCGGCAGTGCATCTCGCTCGAGATTTTCGTGTAGTATTTGCCGACCTAAAATTTCAAGATGCCAGCAGTGCTCGAGTACGTGTCAACGACGTTTCATGAAACGATCTGAATAAAATGAGAGAACGATATTCCACCGTGTGATGTTCAATTTAATGAAGAATTGATATCGGCTGTGAAGTTCTAACGTAAAATAATCGCACATTAAATGTCGGTATTTTGTTGTAAGATACTCGTTAGTAAAATCACAAAAGACACACTAGGATTATGTCTACCATGAAGAGAAGGCGAGACTGCACTGCCGCGAAAAAGGCCTTGAATCAGCTGTAACGAATAATACGCACGCCTTCGAGGCATCTTCTTAATTGGCACGATACGACGCCGGTAACGAGAATAACGGCACCATTGTCTCGCGCCGTAAGAAAAGGTAAACGCTATTAGCGTGGCACGCGAGGAGGACTCGAGATGGTATTTCCTTTTAACTTTGTCGCTTTATTTAACAACGTAATTATACTGCACGCTGCCAGCAAATGAATGTATTAAATCTCGCGCTATTGTTGAACACACGACACGCTTGTCCGATGAAAAATGTCCTTTCAACGTACGCGAGACCTATACGCGTGTACTGTCATTTAATTGTGTCAAACGCACGTGCGCGCGCGATATTTTGATAATTTATAAACGCCTTAATTTAGAAATGTAAATGCACGATATAAAAAACATGTAACCACAACTCCTAGTGTTGCAGAGAGATATTTGGTACTAGTAAGAATTTAAAGATGTAATGGTTCATATTCTACATGTATGTGTGTATATGTGTATTCCTCTTTCTCTCTCTTTTGCTACTTATAATATTTTATATAAAATACATCGTGTAAACGTCCATGATACTTTTCCATACGTTGTTTTTAAGCAAATAAATTTTTTAAGGATAAATACTATAAAGACAAATATTAATCGGCGAGCTAGAGCCTCGTTTACCCGTGCTATAGGTCTTAGGTCGGCGGTGTATCTTTAACACCTGGCGTATTTTCTCACGTAACCCGCGTCGACGCAAGGTCGATTTCGGTACTCCGAGTCGCCAAAGTCCCCTCCCCCCACGCCAGCAGGAAATGCAGGAAACGTTTTCCAATTTCCGCGTTTCATCGTCCAGGATAAGTCCGGTGGGGAAGAGTTGGAGGGGAAGACCGATCGATCGGCGGTGCAGTAGCTGCATCGCCACCCCTTCGTCTCGCCATCTTCTGTTCCCGCGCGTGTGCCTCGAATAGCAATTTTTTTTCTTCCTCCCGAAAGTCGCCACTTTCGCGAACTGTCCGGTCGAATTGCCGAAAACGATCGCCGGTGACCGTCTCCTCGGTCTCTTGCGAGTGAAATAACAAACTACCCCGAACCATAACAACTATAGCCAATCGACGTTATTCTTTATCGGCCTTCTTCATCGGCGCTGGTCGTAGAAATGAGAGCGACGTCACGGCCACACCGCCGTTCTGTTCACCTTCCTTTTCTTTTCCTTCGCTTCTTCCCTTTATCTTCTCTCCACCGCCCCCGTCCATTAATTAACAGGCTTTGTACTTTTAAACGATGTTAAATAAACGGCATTGTCCGCCAGCGAAAGGACTGAAAAGCAGGCGCCATTGTGCTTTAAGCTCGCTCTTCTCGTCCTCGTCGTCGTTCTCTACGTCGTTGTCGTCATCGTCGTCGGTGCCAGAAAGAAGGAAAGAGAGGACGAAGGAGTATTGCCCGCGAATGCCAACCTACTAATGCCATCAGTGCTGGGAAGCCTTTGTTCTAAACAAATACGCCGAACCCCGCCACCCTCGCCACCTCCGTTACCCTTCACCACCCGTCTCTCTCTCTCTCTCTCTCTCTCTCTCTCTCTCTCTCTCCCTTGTTCGATCGTGCCACCTGCCTTTCAGACGGGAAAACGTGTATCGATTGGATAAGCCGTAATATAAATAGAAAGGAGAACTATTCCCTTCGCGCGACCGGAAGTTATCTTCGTTTTATGATTTCGACACCGAATTTACACGTTCCCCAACTCGACGATAGTCCCGAATAAATTATTCACGGCAAAGCAATAATTAACGATCAATTCTAATCATCATTTCTCAAACTTTGATAACAGAATCTCGCAATATTATGTAGTTTTTACTACAAACATCTATATTGTATTTCTAGGAAATTATCTCAAAGATAAATGAGTGAAAAACTACTCAAACACTTTGTTTTCCTTTGGAAAATTTGTAACACTGGACCTATAAGCCGAGGCGGACGAAAAGCCTAAGTAAAATAGTTTCTTTCTTATCTGATTACATAATTTCAAAAGTGAGGTAAAGAAACTCGGAATCAGTGGGAATCCCCGATATACCTGTGGACTTCAACTCAGGGAAATTTTAATTATTTATAGAATATTTAGATACTAATGTATGCGTTCCTAATGTTATCGACAGACTATTGTCTCGGAAGATACGATTCTGGAATTCTCATCCGGCCGTTTGCCGATACTTTTCTTCGGAGTTCATTGTGCGCCACCCGTATTATCTAACGGCCGACATGCTCCGTTGTTGTTGTTGTCGATAGTAAACAGTGACAAGAATAGAAGGAGCACGGGTCTTGAGAAGTACAGTGTGAATCCACGACTACCTACATTCTTATCAGCTTTTCTCTAGAGTGAGTTCTATTCTCTCTTTCTCACCCCCCTCTGCTCGCTCTTTTTTCAGCCTCCTCTTTCTCTCTCCCTTGCCCTCACTTCTGTTTCCAAATTCTAGTTAATTTTATTTAAATTCTATTTTATCAAACCTTTTCTCTTTTCCTTCCTGCTCTTATTCATTACACATTTTTATCCTGCATGAACGGAACTCATATCTTGCCTACGGTTCGGAATATTATTTTACTTTCTCTCCTTTCTCACAGAGATTTTTTCGCTCCCGACGGCGTCCGGCAATCCTGGTCAAGTTGTATAAAAGGAAAGGAAAGAATTGGAAGATATTAAAGCTCCTTCTCATGTGAAACTCGGAGAACACGAAACAGTCACTCCCAGTAACTTCGCGACTGGCTTGTCTCGTGTAATCTTGAGTCATGCATTCAAATTGAAGTATCCTGCTTGTACTTCACAACCAAAATAAATCTTCATTAGCAGAAGTGCTCTCTAATGAGGACTCCCAAAGCAATTAGATCTCGAGATTTTTCAGAATATTTCTGAAAACACATTCCACATTCAATCTCCGTTATATTTTTTTCGGGCTTTTTCGGAATTCCTCCGGCCTCTCATATGACTCATAGTCTCTCGACCGAATTCTCGGATGAAATAAATCTCCAGTCCGTAAACAGCTGCAAGCTTTGCAGCACGTCGCGACGTCGATGTCTCGTCGTGGCGGCCATTGTTGGCGACGTCGCGGTGCAACCCCGAGCGTATTGTTCCGCCGTTGCATCAACCTCGGCGTCAGCGTTGGTGTCGCACCTCGCTACCAGCGGATTCCGTTTCCAGGATGCCAGAGCCGGGGCTTTGCGCTTTGTGTGCGCCTCTGCGACGGTCGACAACAAGTGGTAATTAATTCTGCGCAAAACAATCAGCCCGCCTGCCGGGTGGGGGCGCAAGGGGGCAACGAAGGGGTTAAAAACGTTCCGCGCCCTCCCCTTCATCGAACGGAGTCTTTCCGGAAATATTCTTTCAAGGTTCTGAACGCTCGTCGCAGATACATACGACTATATAGAATCTACAAAATGTATTCCAAATCCGATAGATGATAATTTATTTCTCAATTAATCGAGATGATTTTGACACGTTATATTAGATATTTTAAGAGAAGGAAATACACATTGAAAGAATAGGGAAAAATCAAAGTGATATTTTAAAAAGATATCACTTTGATCTTTCCCAATTCTTTCAATGTGTACTTTCTTCTCGTTTTATTAGGAACATTATAATTTCCCAACAGCTAAAAATAACTCCCAAAACAAAGTACAAATATTAAATTGTTGACGATATGCAAAGTATTGTACAGTATTGACAGTACGAAATATGTCTCGCACTTTTAAATATTTGTCCTTCAAATTGTGTCAGATTGGGCAGTTCTCAAATATTAGTACTATCGAAAATGTGTTAATCACTGTTTAATCACATTAATGGAGATAATTGCTGGAAATGACTGGACGTAGTATTGAACGAATTATTCCAGACAACTATATCTGAATGCACAAATTTAGAATACACAGTATTTACAGAACGATCGATGCTTCTATCCAAATGATTCGCAAATACCTACCGACAGAAAATGCATGCGCTTCTCTTGCGATATTAAGATTCTACAAAAAAACAGAATAGAAAGAGACCTCGACTTCTCTCGGTAGGAAATGAATTGCGAGGACGTCACGGAATGATACAAAAAAAAAAAGAGTTGTCCCATATATCGCCTGCTATACGTCTTACTCGAATGATATGTACCGTTGCGGTGTATGCTTTATATATTGTTAGTCATAATATTGAAATTTATTTTTGCAGGTGCGGAATGGAAACTCCTCTCGGAGGAACAGAAACGTCCCTTTATCGATCAAGCGAAGAGGTTACGTGCTCAACACATGAAGGAACACCCGGATTACAAATACAGACCAAGAAGAAAACCCAAGACCTTGCGCAAGGAAGGCTATCCGTACAGTATTCCATACCCGAGTGTGCCTATGGACGCACTTCGAGCAGGTAATTAGCTTAATTATCACTTGTCAGTGATTATTATTTTCGGTATACGTAACGTTATCTAGTGATAGCGAGAATAACGAAGTTCAAAAACATTCAGTCTTGTACGAGAATCGACCAACATTTTCACGTGTGTGACATTGTAACATTATTATTATCGATTTGTATAAAAAAGTTTTATTTATTGACAAGGAACGAAAAAGTTATTTGCATAAAATAACACTCATGGCGTAACTATGCTATGACTGTACATGATTAAATATCGCGCCGTGAAAATATTCGTCATATGTGACAACGGACAAATGAATATAATAATTCAGTTCAAGTATAATTCAGCGAAATTTATTCTAACGAGATGTCTATATCGGCGTTTCAAGCGAAATTTATTCAAAAGGATATGTCTGTATTCGATGTTTGTGGCTATATTTATGAGCGCTCGGCGACTGTCATCAGTCATCGACGATCGTACCAGAATGGTTAAAAAAATGATTGACTTAGAAACTATCGACTTGATAAACCAATATAATACAGAGATAAAATATGAAAAAAACTAACGTTTATAAATAGTGAACGCATTACCTGCTGTCCACTTAGTTATCGAAAGCCCAAACTTGCAGATTCACGAGTTCTTTTTACAAAAGATCTCTTGTGAATTTAATTCAATTAACAAAAAGTGTACCGATGCTATTCTTCACGTGAGAATGTTTATCATAGTTGTCCGTATAATGTTACGTGTCTCAAAAAAGGAGAGAAGCGATTCATTATTTTTGGACATATGAGAGGTCGGCTTTTCGTCGCCGTTGCCCTCGTTTGCTATTTCCCACACCTACTTTTCTACCGGCGGTTTTGACGGGGATCACCTCGTTGCACCGCAATGCAACGAAGTGGCGCGTGGAGGTGTTGTTGCAAATATTGCACCTCCCGCAATTGCGTAAACACTCGTGCCGAACACTTGCGCCGTTCCGTTGACGTCACGTCTGGTTAGTTTATTGTGACAATTGAGCGGGCATAATGGAATCGAGCGCGCGTGCAAACGCGGCAAGAACACAGAAAATGCACGGCGCGCTACCAATTTGTTTAATTAATACGAGACGCAGACGCGAATGCATTATGCGTGACGAACGCAGCGATTTAGAATTTAACAATAATTGCAATCTTTCTGTGGCGCAGCAATAAAGACCGCGCGTCCGCGCACACGGAAGCGTTATCTGCATTACATAATAATACGCGCGTATTTTTCACGTAAACAAGCTCGCCACCCATTTATTTATTTATTACCCGAATGTGTATGAATAATTACATTGTTAAAAGTAACGAGTGCGTACGCAGCATGTTTTACAAATATCGCCGCCTTGTTTCGAGCGCGGATTGTCCTACCAATTCCGAATTAGAGCGCATCCTGTGTCGTAATTATTTGCAGCAGTTCATCGCGGTGCACAGTATTAATTAATCGTTTAAATGAAATCGCCACAGACACCGTTAATTTATCACTTGTAAATTGAACCGTCGATTTTCTTTCATTACACATTTAATTTTCAATTGCGCGCCCGTACGATTTAGACGACGATGCTCCCGGAATTCAAAGCGAATTTAAGGAAATGCCCATAGAGAGGCGCTAATGATATGCTTTCACTATCGCGCTTTCCTCGCGGTTTATCACATCTTTAGCGTGACAAAGGTGACATTCGAAAGTTCGTTCCACGTTACGCTACGTGGCCGCGTCTGCCTTGTAATTCATCGTCGTGTAATTCGCGTTCGCGTAGGCGAGTTTACGGATATCCGTCAAGAGTGCGCTCCCACTCGAGAAATTATTAATTCCGGCAATGGTGATGTCGCGATTAAAGCTGAAATATATCTCGACGCCCACGCGACCACCCTACGAAAAGTAGCGATCGGTAATCTCCGATTTATCGGACGCGGGGGACTATCCTGCTCCTGTTTGTATCTCTCCTCCGTATTTCCTCTCCTTTCTCAAACGCTTCCTCCCTCCTCTCTGCGCGTTTCTATTCAAGCTTGAATTGAAACTCCCGCGGACTATAGACGGTCAAGTACAAGAAACGAATTCGTGATAACCTAAAATCAAGCTATCAATATCAGAAATAATACAAAAAAGTTTACTTTGCGTGACTTGCGTAATTCGTAAGGAAACATAATATGTATATTTTTTTGCGAAATTTTTTGTGCCCTCAGAACGCGTATGCGCTTCAAGGGAAGGCATTTTTTCTGAGGGAAGAGATTAGGCAACATGATCGCGTCGCAAAGGATAATTATTTCTGGTTTTGTACGCTGAAATAGCATTTGCTACACTCTGTTAGTCCCTCCCGTAAAATTTCACAGAAAGGAGGAAGGTGTTTCCGTTTCCTTTGTTCACCTTTAGGACATCATCGCAAACTATCCCTTGTTCCCTTTTTTCCCACAGATCGCCCAGTTTTTTCATTTCTTTCCTCTCGACCGTTTCTGGCTACCTCTTGACTGAGCTTACACGGTGGCACGCGTATAAGACAAGCGCGTGGGTGGTTGAGATAAATTACCGCCTTAAGCTGGAATCCCGACTCGAATTTCCGTTCGTGCGTGCGACTGGTCGTTCCTTAAGGACGAGAATTAAGGACGAACCTTAACCGGAAATTCGCCCTCTCGGACAACGCGCGAAACTGCTAATTCTCATGTTAATTCAAAATCCCCCCCGATCGCGATTTATTACATTTAATCCCGCTAATGTTGATTCGGTGCACTAAAAGTCTACTTATATCATAATCTCGTGATTCCGGCAAGTAAGTCGAATTAACATAGTTGACAGAATAAGTAAATGCCCGAGTCCGAGTTAAGTCGTGGTAAAATCGAACGCATTCGTTAAAGTTACAATATTCGCTCTCTTTAAGACTTCCGCGTTATTTTTCGTGCAATAATACCGATAATTGAATTCACCGTCCATTCGGGTTACACACGCGCAAACGAAATCGCGAGGGTTACGCGAGGAAAAGGAAACGGGAAGCACGTATCCCCCCGAATCTTATAAATTATCACCGAGTAAACATACCCCAGGGGCGTATGTTCCTTTTTTTAACGAACGATGGATTTACGATCGCGAGTATCCATGGAGTTACGTGCTCTTGGCCTGCGGGCGTGACCACCGAGTCGCGAACTTTCGCATAATGCCGCGGGAGCTTAAGACAATTCGATAAATAATGAGCCAGCGACATGTTTATGCGCTCGCGTGCCTGCATCCAATGAATCCTCGAACAAACACGCTCTGCAAAGTACGGCCCTGCCGCGCCGAAGGGAATTATTCGACGATTTATTCCAACGTTCCCCGGTCTCTCTCTCTCTCTCTCTCTTCCGCTTTACCCTTATATCCCCGAGAGATATCAGATCAATTTGCACGATAAAATGTGCACGAATTAAAATTAGAATTTTTCTAAAAGTATATGAATATCGAATATTTTCTAAAATATATGAATATCGAAAAACAATTAAATCGGAGTTTTTAGTTTTGAGATTTCTCGACGAATTTCAAGTTAATGCTGTATGTAAATTTGAGAAAAATTAGCGTATAACACATATATCGCGGAGAAAAAGCCAAATTCGACTGGAACTTCACGAATGGATATACGAGAATATATATGAGAATATATACTGAAATAATTAATATATTTCTCTCTCCGGAAGACGTGAAAATGAGGATCACACGCTGTATGTACAGCAATATGTATCCGCTGAATGTACAGCGATATGTAGCACGTTGAAGACTACGCTACCATACGAACTGGCGAGTTTCGAAACACGAAAAGCGAGGTTTGCCGAGCAGAGAAAACGACGTCGCACGGCGGAATCTTTTGTGTTTGCGTTTGAATTATAATGCGACAACTTGCGACACACATGTCCACACACATACACATACACACACACATACGGACATATACACACATACGCACACAGTACGGCCACGACGCGCGTAAAATATTTAGACTTAGTAATCACGTTGTGTCTCTCGCGCCTTCGTCCGGCACGGAAATTCAAAATTACGTAATCCGGTACGAGGCGCGACACAATGAAAACAATAGCGACCCAGGAACGGCAAACAAATCTCTGCAAACCGAGGGGACTCGTGCGTACCAGGCTCGATTCATCGAACATCTGTTCTTGAAATTCTACCAGCGAGACAAAACAGATAAGTCAAAATCGACAGATGCCGTAAACAAAACTTTCCACACCTGATTAACGCTTCTATAATCAAAAAGGTGGAACCTCCGTGTTGAAAAAGTGGATAAAAAAATCCGATTAAACATTTAATCGAAACTGCTTCAAAAATAATCGTTTAATCTTCTCCAAGCTAATTAACCGTTATCTCAGTCGTTAAATTTAGCTAAAATCAATATGGGAGGATTAAAAGAAAAAGCGGTATTTACCAAATAATATATTCATATCGCTCGAGATTTGTGATCATTTAAATTATTCTTCAGTTGCTTTTTCTCAAAATGCGTCTGCTTCACAAAGTACAACGAATCGAGAATCCCGACGGGAACTTTACGCGATTATCTCGCGCCCACGCGCTAGAGCTCGGCAATCGTGCCGCATCTCGATCCTCAATATGCCCATCTCGCCTTTGGCGATCTTCAGGCATCATCGGTGATCATAAATCTCGGGGAACTCAACGCCAATCATCCTCCTTCGGGTTAGGTTCGCTGGAATGAGGCGCATGAGCGACGTCTCCTGGTCGCTATCGTCGTCGCTCGACAATGGAGCTTCGTCGAAGGCTTTGTCGATGATCGATAAGCCACCAGGTACACGATGCTCGTCCTCTTTCCTTCCCTCTTTCTAAACGAACGGCAAAACGTGCAAAACGGTAAAAAGAGAAGAGACACACACTCCTGTTAGACCCGGAGATATCAATCTCCATCGAAAATGGCCCATGATCATTACCCGTCATTGTTGAGCTACGAAAAGAAGAGCGCGCGCATTTCTTACTCTAGGACAAGAATAATCGCGCGCTATTCATTAAACGCCCACGTCTATCTTTTATCTGGACTCCTGCTAATCGCGAGTTTCCACGTGCGATTACTAAATGCGTCATCTTAAATCACCCCGTGCACCGTACGCACGCGCGTCTAAATATGCATATCCAATCGTTGAATAAAGAATATAAGGAGCATGAGGCAAAAATACGTAGCGGCGGGATGCAACGGACGTGACGTTACTAAGTACACCCAAAGTAATTATCGATATGTGCGAGTCTTTTTCTCTAATTTAATTACAACTAATCTTTAAACTAATCAGTAATTCTGCTCTGACCTAAATTACCTAAATACATATAATCTAGGATTATCTCACTACATGTCCTAGATTACACATCATCATTGTGCGAAACTAAATCGAATGTTTTAGTTCGCTTGAGTCGCTTTAGGTTACTATTATCAAAAAGTTGTAGTACCTTTCATTAATATGTTTATGTAGTTTATCCTCGTGCCTTTGGGCAAGCTTTTTTATTTCTTGGGCAACTGCTTCAATACCCGAGTCACGATGTATGTCAACATTTCTAACAGCGAAGCTTCAACAATATTCCTAAGCACTTTATTTTGAAATCTTTATATTATTATTATATTAACGTCACCTTAATTATGACATAGTCATAAACTATATCCGATCGATAATCCAGCAAATATCGCGATATGCTCCTTCTTTACATTCTTTATTCAATGATTCCACTGAATATCAAACATTCGACATTCGCAACCCGGTAGCGTCTCCTCCTGAGGAACGCGCCGTCGTAATTTAACACGCGGGTCACGTGGCGAACGGTTAACCCCAAGAATAACCCTCATCCCTCCGACAGGCGGCGGAACGTCGCGCATCGCTTATTAATTGTTAGCGCGTAAATCCTGCGAGGATGGTGAGCGATGACAATTCGTCGTCGCTGTCGTCGTTACGCAAGCGCGATTCGCTAATTAATACGTCGCCACCGTTAAAGGCGACGCGTTCATAAATTGCCGGCGTCTTATTTATGCATACCCGCGTGTGTTGTAACGTTACAGGGATGGCCGGTAGCATGGGACAGGCAGGGATGGGCTCCTATTACAGCCCTGCGGCGGCTTACGGCCCCCTCTCGGCGGCCAGCATGGCTGCGGCTGCGGCAGCGGCTGCACAACAATCGGCTGCCGCCATGTCCGCCGGTCTCGGGGCACCTGCTCAAGTAAGTCGATATTTCTTTCGCGCGAGTGATATGTACGCGACGACAAGTACACCGCGCCTAGAGACAACATTACATCGTTGTCCGGGCGCAGAGTGGACGCAGCCGGTGAACGACCGCTCGATCCACGCCGCCTGGTGAGGTCTGATTTTTGCAATGGTCATCCACCGTTGCTCGAAGAATAATTACACCGTTAAACGTTCAGTAGTTCGTGTCGACGTTATTACGGAAAACGCAGCTACGTTATTTTGCACGATTGCGGTATCGAGTGCGTCGTCGGGAATACTCGCAGTAAGTAACTCAGTCGTACAAGTCAAACGGATGCAGACGAGTGGTGGTCGGGTTATAAGGGCATAGATGATGCTGAAATTCGCTGGAACAAAACGCCCGTTGGGGATGGAAGACGCAAACGACGAGGCAAGAACGGGATTACGCGGGAATGACCGGAATGGCTGTTAACGGAAAAGATAATTCCGCGGACGGATCGAGCCCCGCGGGAACCTATTAATTCGACTCCGCATGGACATCTAATTGGATTGAAATATGAAACCTCCCGAGCGAATCGAATTAATGATTCGTCTTTGTGGAGATATTTCTATTTCTATAGCAACGTTAACTCGCGGCCGGCATTTTACCGCGCCACAAAGTCACAATCACAAATCCATTTATCTCGAAGACAATTGGCGACTGGACGTATCGAGTCCGCGAGACAGATCGTCGGCCGCGTAAATAAAGCAAAAGGAGGAGAAAAAGCGGAGATGGATCGCGTGCGCAAGAGGAAGAGGAAGGATGAGGGAGGAAGCGGAAGGTAGCGGCAGAGAGGGAGGATGAGTGTAGCTACGTTTCATTCGTTGTTGCAACAAAGGGGCCCCCGGGTGGCTTCGCAAACAGAAACCGGAGACCGTGGTCTGTATATGAATTTCCGCAGCTGGCTACGGGAGACAAACAGATAGCTAGTTATTTCTGCATTCAACGGCTGAATAGCCGACGCGTCTGGAACGACGCACCGGCGCGATACAAGCGACCATTATTGGTGAACACCGGCGGCGAGCGGCACGCTTGAAGAATTCCAACGTTATCTTCGCCCAGCCGAGTTCGAATTCTTCCTCTCTCTAGCTCAACGTCACCGGGGACGTAATTAATCCTTACATGGGTAGATGATAAGAGAAAGTTTAGAGAAGAGAAGAAGAGAAAAGAGTCACACTGATATTTTTTGTCAAGATTCTTCTTATATATGTAGCTTTCTTTATGAAGTGACGACAGCTCTCTCAAAGAGGACTAAATTTAACAGCGAAACTCGAGGCGACAAATCAACCGACCTTCTCAATGACGAAACCTAAGATAAAAAAACAAGCGGGTAACCAACTTGGGAATCAAAATCAATCACATCAGTTACATAATTAAGCACACTTCGATTTGATTGACGACATAAAAATTATTATCCAGTTTACGTCACAGCCAACGGCACAGAAAAAGAGAAAGTCGATTGAATTGCAGCAATAGTCAATCGACGTTGCTGAAACTAAATCTCATCACGACCAGTGTTAATTTCAACAAAAAAAAAAAAAATTTAATTGCACACTTACGCGCGTCGCGGAGTTAATATGGATAAAAATTATATTTCGTCAACGCTTTCGCGAACGTGTCGTCCAAGGGATACCGAGTTCTTACGAAATGTTGAAGCGGCTGAAATATCAAGGGCTGTGACACAATGCGACAATGTGAGGGAGTTGACTTTCTCGTTCTCTGTACTCTCCCACTGCTTCGAGGCCATTTGGAAAATAAAGTGCGCTCATTCTCTTTCGTTCTCGACTTCGACGACACATGGCGCGAAAGGAGAATGGCGCTCTTTTGTGAGCAAAAACAGAGGCGAACGGTATACGGTGTCATTGTACGCTTTAACAGCGACATCGCGCTGGATAATTAAGTCTCCTAGAACGAAAGCCGTAGATGAGAACGGAATGGACCAACGCGACAGTGACGATGATAGACACATCCGAAAGAAGCTGACAAACGTTTAGAATCGTGTAAGCAAACCTAAGATTCCGTAATGGTCCGCATAGTTAAGTAATAAACGAAAGACTGTTTTCTTGGAGATTTTTAATTCTACATTATAAAATACTTTCTATTTCGCGCAAGTTTCGAATGTCTGTTTTTTTTTTTCTATAGAAACCAAATATTTAAAATTAACTTCGGCGTAGATAATTACAGCGGTTTAAAATTAAATTAAAAATTCAGCTAGATTAAACATCAAAATAAAGATTAACGGGGATATTTTGGTTTCCAAATTATTTGAAATTTCCGAAACAGAGCGTGACCGACTTAAAACCCTCAACAGCACCGTCAAATTATTTCGACGCATCTACGTCACACCCGATGAATCATACGTCACAATTATTTAATGTTAGCGAAAATATAATAAAAACGCGCCGTGATAATCGAGCTAGTCGCGGTCGACCGAATTTTCATACGAATATCGGAACGCGTCATATGACGAAGAGGAATTTTTAATTTCTGGACGCCGCTGCGATTCGCGGAGAGAAGGGGTCTCTCTCTCTCTCTCTCTCTCGAGGCGAGAGAAGCCGGGCTGTAATCAATTGGTCGTAGCGGACGAGAGAGACTTAGCATCGCTAAGACTGGATGTAAATCATCCGGACAAAACCGCTTAACGATCCGACAAAGGATCCCGCGCGGTCCTTCCTTCGTCCACGAATTATAGAATCGGGAATACGCGCGCTGCTTCTCGCCTCTCCTTCTCCTTCTCTTTCGTTTTTTAAACGGCCGTCTCTCGAGGTCGGCCTCCCTCTTCAATTCGCGGCAGCCCGGTCCGAAGCGCGTTTGGCCCAACGTGACGAAATTTATGACCATTGGCAGCGTTGTCTTCGACATAGAACAAATCTCCCGGCTCGGGTCGCGTCGCGGATTCACCGATTTCGCGATTTGCGCGCCGACCGAATCGAATGGGTTGACTCTCGACTTTTGTCACCTATTTTTTATCCGTTCGCGGTAGTGTCGTATTCTCGGTGTCTGTTTTTCTAAGGCCGGTTGCCAGAATTCGGCACAGATTTGCAAAGACTAATAATAGGGACCCTAATTCCTCTAAGTTTTATTGGGACCTTCAGCTGTCCGAACTTTGCTCTCACGAAAGAATTCTCATTTATAAATTAATTTTCTTAAACGTGAACATTTATGTTCGAATTGATCATATAGTGAAATTGCGGCTAGATTTTGTGTAGAGAGACCTATAACGCGATAACGACATTATATTAGCGGAAATATAGCGTCGATGCACGGCATTCCCCGTTCTTGTTCCAGGTGGTGAGCTCGATGGACGCCATGAAGTATTCGATGGAAGCTGACAAATATCGCGCTGCCTACATGCCGCCCAGCAGTCTCGCGATGAGCATGTACCCGGATCCCAAGTATCTGGACTCAAATCCCAAGACCTATCTGGACCGAAGCTACTTGGATTCAGCGAAGGCGTACTTCGAGCAGTCGAAGCTCTACATGGATCAGAAACCGCCCCTTGTCGACTACAACCGGCCCAGCTACGAGCCCAACAAGCTTTACGAGGAATCCAGCCCGGGTAGCGTTGTCGGCGGAAGTGGACCTGCGAGGTCACCGGCCGCGGAGTCACCGGACACAAGCAAGCAGCACGAGAGAACGGAGCAAGCCTCTTCCAGCGCAAGCTCGACATCCACATCATCGGCCGCGAGTCCCGGAGCAACTCTACCAGCGTATTATCCCGGACCGGTCCAGGCTGGTGGATTGTTGGGCCCGCAAATGGGTCAGTACGGTGGATATCAGACGGCACCGGCCCCGGGAAACGAGTCTTTCCGCCGACCACTGACAGTCATCTTCTGACCCGATAGAACATAGCTCTGATCCATCTTCGAGGAACAGTTGCTGTGAACCTGGTCGAATCGTGACGACGACTATCGCGGATTCGGCAGAACGACACTACGACGCTCTGGCAGAGGATCTGCCCGAATCTCAGCAGTCGGAGTTCCGACGATCAGAAGATATCATCTTTTGTCCAAATGCATTACGGTTTACGGTGCATATAAAGAAGAGAGGGGGGAGGGGGGGGGGGGGCTGCGGATCTCATTGGATTGTCATGACTACGGCGGATAACATGAAATGAAAGTGGAACATTGTGTGTGATAGTGTTCTAGGAAAACATTTTCTTTATTTTACTAGATGGATTCCCTGGATTTTGCCAAATTATCCGACGATAATTAATGGTGGTCGTCTTCTCATCGTATAATGGCTACTGCCAACTGACGTGCACCAATGATGAAATCTTTCCGGAGTATCTTTTGTTAGAAAAATATTCCAAACGGGCTTGAAAAAAAAAGATTGTGATAACTTTTGTTAACTAATTGTGGACGGGTTAAGCGCAATAAATGAAGATTTCACGAAATTGAGTGGAACTTCAAGAAGATGTAAAAGAATGATAGACAACTCCAGTCAATGAGGGAACTATTTTCAAAGACATTATTATTTTAACAGTTTATATCGTGTATCCTTTGAAAGGATCGTTGATCGATCGGGAAGAATTTCATCAAAGGACTAGAAAGAATTTAATATTTTCCTGGCGATGGATATACTCAATAATATCGCTACGAGAGGGCAAGAAGAGCAACCAGACCAACAGACTATTCTGAAAGATAAAGGACGACCAAACGATGATCATAACATCATTGCAGATCACAACGAAGACCGAGAGGACTTTCGCTGTGTCGTCGGCTGACTAGTCTTGACCGAGACGTGTTAAGAATACATTGTACATAGTCCCTGTGTAAATAGTGTAGCAAAAACTTGGCTGTTCCGGGTTTCCGCGCGCGAATCCGCTTTCTTACGTTCTCCATCCCCAGACACAAGAACGCGTAATCCTTGAAGAGAAAGCAGTACAAATGGAATCGTGTGCGTAAGTGGTATCGGAAACCTATCGCGAACATTTGATCATTGGAACGACATAATGTTTTGAACGACTTATCTTTTGTTTCGTTTGCCTTCAACCCTCAATTTGGTTAAAAATATATATTTAATCATATGCTCGCTAAAATGTTGCTGGGTACACTTTTGTATAGGTTAGCCAAAATGATAGATATTAGTTTCGTTAAGTAACTATAATTTCGGATGTATGATCAAAAGACACTGGTGATAAATCGACAAGAGATGGGCGCAAAACTTTCTTATGTTACTAAGTCATTTACATGATGTCATTTATATTGTACTTATTTACTTGTAATTTAGGAATTCAGAATTGTATATATCGATAAATTTCAAATTTGGTTACTCAATTCGAGTATCACCAGCTGTGGGTTGAGAAGTTCCGATAGCCCACGAATATTAATAAATTTTTCTCCGTGCAAACTTGTCACAGAAGATCGTTCAACTTTTCCGCGCGTTTTCCTTCGCGGAGAAATTGAAATGATTGAATCACTGTTTACTTACGATTATCGTACGTCAAGAATAAGAAATCGCATTTCTAATTTTGCTATCGATAAAATAGCAAACGATATTTATTATTAATTTTTTTAATTGTAAAAAAATATTGTGTTGTTTTTGTTTATATCTGGGTCAAAATGCTTACGCGAATAACGAGTAGCAATTTTAAATGTGTATGATTAATTTTACGTCGCATATTTATATAAAAAAAATTATATGAGTTTATCGTTATATGTTATATATTCGAAATTGTTATTCGTTATTTACGAATATATTTTGGCCAATTAACGTTCACCATGTTCTTCATGCATAATAATTGTAGAAATATAAAAGTATACACGACACCTGTTATAATTTCCTGATCGACAAAGGCACGCGATCATTTCCGCCTTTTGTTGATTACCTTCCAACGTTCGAATCTGTTATCATTTGATAGCGTCGATCAAATCGACTTTGCGAGGGGGGAGGGGGGGGGATGAACTCCAGAAAAAACGTTTCACTCGAGACATTCCCGCTATACAACGTGTATAATCTTTGTATTCGTATCGTCACGATGAACCTTAAGCTGTATCGATTATCCGCGTATTACATTACATGCGACACAAGTAAATTATAAGTATTGTACCGTAAGTGAGAAATAAACGTTATAAACAATATCCTTGAAACGCATTGTATGTGTGTGTCGAATTTCCTTCTCTCAGTTTTAACATAATGTCAAAATATATAGCGCGTAACATATAAAATGTCGAATGCAAATGATTACCTATAGACATGTATAAATTTCTTGCGAATAACAATAACAACAAATAACAACAAGATAATCACTAGTGATTGTGCCGCTGTGCACGTCGAAAATACAATACGGTTTCTCAATGTAACTCCCGCAGGACATTCACGGAGAGATCTCTTTTCTACACCAGCGGACAAGCCGCGTACATCCGGATCAAAAAGAGGCGCTCACAATATGCATGTTAGAACGGAGAGATAAAGGGGGGCCAGATTCTGAAAAGATATTTTCAGGAAATTATTACGCCCAAAGAAAAGTTTGTCTTGGCGGGAGTCCGGATTCAGGACGACACTAGTGCGGGCCTCGTTTCCATGTGCACCCATTCGTAGCCTTCAAAAGGGAATCTCGGTATTTACCTGAATGAAAAGCGTAAGGTGTTTTCACGGATTCGGGGAGCGACGTAAAGGTGCGAACGAATAAATGGTTCGAGTTTCCAAACGGCAGTCGCGAGATCGCAGCTGCCGTTCTCTCCAGCTCAACAATGGGCGACGCGACGGCGGTCGAAGCCTTCTTAGTTTTTTCCAAGCATTGGCTGAGCGTCGAGTTTCGATGCACATTGTGCATCGATGCACAACGGTCGCGATTTATTTTAAACGAACGGAGCAAGCAATTCTACAGTCTCGAATAGTGACGCATTGACGCGGTAAAGTTTATTAATCCTTCGCACGGGTCAAGAGAATTTAATAGTGCACGAAAAACGGAGGAGAGGAAACAATATATTAAAGATATTTAAAATATAAAAACTTTTAAAAAGCTGAAATGCTTGAAAAGAATCCAATATAATAACTTTTCAAAGATACTTCAAGCAACGTTCTGCAAAATCGTGTTTGAACATTCTTAATGTATAACTTCGTTAAGTTTGCTAAAAGTAATATTTCTACGCGCTTTCCGGTGAAATATTTCGCGGAAATATCTCGCAACAGTCTATCGCTATTGTGCACGTCCGATAAGTTTGTTCGTACAACATCCGACGTCGCGAACGACTTCTGTGTTTGTGCGTGCATGCAATCGATACGCAAACACGAATCCTGCGAGACCAGAGAACGCGGTGCCGGTTATAGTTGGTGGTTCGCGATCATAATACGTGAGCCCTCGCGAATGTTTGCGCAACAACCGCGGTGGTTTGCTGCCACCGGCGACGATTGACTTGTCTAAATAACGGCACCTGCTCCGTTCTACCGAAAATAATTACTCGACAAACAACACGGAGCGAGCCGTTCCTTACGTCAAGATTAGGTGATAATTCGTTAACCACTCGAGAGACGATTTATCCCCGATTGTACTTAAGCTTAGAAGTACATATTTCCTGACACAATCGTTAAAACGCACACGTGAGGTTTCTCTTTCTCTCTCTCCATCTANCCCCCCCCCTCCCCCCATTCCCTCTCTCTCTCTCTCTCTCTCTCTCTGTCTAACGGACACGGAGATATTCAGTTAGTTTTGCATAGCTATTTACTTTTCCGAGTAAAGCACATGAACAACACTACAGGAAATAATCATTCAACTTGAAACGCTTTACGGTTATTTCCAGCGTAGCTTTTGATGCGAGAATTTAACATATCTATATTTTCCTCAAATTTTATAATTAGCACTATCGTATCTATTTCTACGACATAATACCAAATTACGTCTCAATACAGAGGCCAGCTATACAAACACAAAACGTGGAGCCGGTAAACCCATTTAATTTTTCTCACCATACGTGTTATATAGACACACCAGATGTTCGTATCAATCGATGAGCCACTATTCACTAAACACGAGATGGCAAATAAGGTCTTTGTCGAGAAAAGAACTGAACTTGACCGGTTCTTCCAGCCGAACCTTCAATTCGGGACGTCATTGTGCAGTTTATGAATCGAGCAGTTCTGTTTGCTTCTGTATGCTGTTCTATTTGCCGAAGACAGAGAGAGAGCACCGATAGGGACAAAGCTAACACAGGGAGAAGCGGTGGATACACTGACCTAGCGCGGCTCACATAGTCGCGTATAGTTCTACACTACACCGCCGGTGTGGATAGATTGGCGAATTTAATTCACAGTTTACACTATACAGCGTTCAACGTTCAAAAGCCTCGATTAATATTTCAGCGGATCGCTTCGAAGCGTGAATTAAACTTTCGTATTAGAGATCGCTAAAATGACAAACATTGCGAACTGCGCTACATATCCTGTCAGGGTAAAAATTTGTAATAAAAAATACAGGAATCTCATCAAATCAAGTCTGAAAAGCCGGGATCGAATTAAGCGACGGAACGGTCGGGCGACGAGTGTGAGAACGCCGAGGTGATTTACATTCCGGCCAAATGATCTCGCTTTCGCCACTCGTGACGTGAGCCATTCTTCGTTGTATAATCAGTTTAATGAGAAGACATTCGTGCCACCTTTCCTCAGGCGGCAGCACAAAGAAAAGTGTACCGAGACCCGACACTGATGCTGAGCAAACGCCGACAAATCGTAACGTGTAGCTCGCAATTAAATTAACGATCGTTTTATTAGCCGGGATTGATGACTGGCGCGGGAATTTAACGGAAATAAAAAGAGAATAATCGGATAACCCGATGACGCACCGGCCGACGAAGCACGGATAATAATCGGCGAAACGCGTGCGCAATGCCGAATGAAAATTTGTCCTAGAATATTAATTTTATTAGACATGCGTCGGCAAATGGCCATTGTGAATGCGATTGTGAGGAGAACCTGGCGAAACGTGTAACCTGTAATGAAATTAATGATCGTCCTATTAATGCGTACCGGTGACTCTTGCGGGAATTGAACGACGGCGAAAGATAATCGGATAACGTCACAATGTTAATTAACAAAATGCGGACAATAATTAATGAAATATGCGTTTTCTTGAATGAAGATTTATCCGGCAGAATTTAGTCGGTGGGATGAACGGTAATTAAATTAATGGCCGTTTTATTAACGGGGATTAATGATTTTCGCGGTAAACGGTGATAGAGGCGCGATATAATTCCTCGACCCTGTTATCAATCGCGTTGTCCTGTTTACCGATCTCTCGTGAGTTTGCTTCTTGCCGAAACTAAAAAACGCCGATATCAAGTATCGATGCACGACACCACGTACGATTCCTCGGGCGATTCAAACGTGCTGCGGAGCCTCTTATAAGGAGGAAACATATGCGTATTATCCTCCTTCCTGATACCCAAAATCCCGCGCATTCCAAAGCCAGCAGGTACTAATGAAGTCGTGAGAGGTCGGTCAGGAATAGTAGTGCGGTCGAGCGCGCTTTCAAACAGCAGGAGCGCGAAGAGGGGGGAAGGACCAGGCAGATGATTTAGATTCCACCTAAACGATCTGTCTAAGCCAGCCTGACGGCCTCGTGTTCAGGTCAAGTTCATCGCCGTGCACTTGGTATAATGGATTTAATGAGAAGGTAGCTACCTCCACCCTCTCCGATGTGTCAGAACTTACCCGGTTTTATCGAGTCGAGATAGAGTTAAAGAGAAAGAGAGAAAGAGAGAGAGAGAGAGAGAAGAAGAGGGAGAGCACTGGCACATCCTTCTTCACGCTTCCTGCTCGCAGAACGCACGCTCGACGAAGGGCGCTTAAAATGGTCCTTCTGGGATCAGAAACAATGGACATGCTTCTCGAGAGGATAATGACGGAGAAAATTGTCAGTTTGTCGTGCTAAGGGGGCGTGCATGAGTCCCTAATCACTGTTCTCGCGGCTTGGGTCTTGTTATCATTCGCCAAAGGGTATGTTACCGTGGCCTGGGGCCTTTTTATCCAGTCACTGGCCGTAAACAAACTAACAATACCGTCGAGACGTCTAACTGTTCATTACGTCTTTTGGCAAGATATTCCTCTAGTCATTAAAATGACACGAATCCTTTCGGGGTAGATTATACGTTTTAGAGAGATGACGAAGGCATATTTTAGACGGCCGTAACTTTCAAGCTTCGATCGAAGCTGTACTTTGCAAGTACAGCGGGGTAAAATTTTACGGCTATCAAGCATCGCTTGATAGACAGAATCTCCAGCAGCAACAGCAGCTTATCTGACATGTCCATTTTGCACATAACACGCAGTTACGTCGCAGTCTGTGTATTTTTATTTACCCATCGCACATGTTATTTTAACACGTTGACTGAAAGTTGACTGAGAATGAGAGAACGCGTCAAGTTATATGAATCAACATACAATTTTCGTACAACATTGTATTGACTAATGCGACCCGACGCTTAATCTTCGCATTTGTCATATCGTGAATCGCGACGCTCCACGATACAATCAATAAATTTCGATGAAAAGTCAACGTGTTAAAAGAAACTTGTTTTGTTACTTAATCAAGTTTATCATATTCTCCTAATTCACGTTCCATCATATTTATACACAATATAAAATATCAGTTAATATGTGCGTGAAATCTCCCATTAAAATTAATAAGGATTAACAACAGACTAACGCGTAGACAATTTATATAAATTAGACTTCAATAAGAAATGCACAGTGTTCAATGTATTAACTTGCATTCTTTCTCTATATGCTGTTATATGCCATGAGTAAGCAAGAATGATGAAAATAAATATATCACAAGGAATATTAATGACAGTCAATTCATTATATATAACTATGCTTGCTGACACGCATAGCCGCTAAGGTGTGTGGAAATATTACGGAATCCTCACAAATATTTTGCAATTCGCGTCGGCAAATATGTCGATCTCACAGAGGTTTAAGACGTATTGCACCACATCGTGACACGTGCGTGACAATCCGAATTAGGTATAAAATTTCTCGTGAACCATCCATGAAAAGGAGTGTCAATGGCCGCGATCCTGAGCAACCATCTGACACCGGTAAGTCTGTTTATACG